TCCCATTTATTCAATGAGGCCCTTAATGTCTGTGCTGCTGGGGTTATACCTTGGAAGTGGTCTCCTGTGCCCATGTGTTGTAGAGTACTTCCCCGTGTGAAAAATTTTTAAGTGAACCTGTCCCCCAGCTTCCTGCTGCGCACTCGTAAATAAACCTCACACCTGTCAGTGTCTGATTAGTTTTACAAAGCAGGGAAGGAGAGAGGGCAGGGAGTTTTCCTCTATACCAGGCAGAATGAAGTGCTTGAGGAACTTCTGTGGGCCACAGGTAGGAAACGGTTGGTTGGCTTGGGGCCATATAGGTGGATACCAAACATCACCACACGCTCTGGTCTGGTTTTAAGCCCCTCCCACCCCCATGGAGAAGATCTGTGCTTGGGGAAGGCACTTGTTAGGAATGGTCAAATTGGAAGGACAGAGGCCTTAGAGTACAAGCAAAGGCACAGTCAACACCGCTGTAGCCTAGGAGCCAAGGGGTGGGATTTTTTTTTTTAATCTCTAATAAATGTGTACTTAGGTGGAGTTAGTGGCCCTAACACAATGTAGATCTCTCCTTTTCATGTCTGCTTAATCCCCTCAAATGAGGGACACACAATTGAAACTCAGAAAGTAAAAATTACTCTTTAGCCACGGTGTGGAGAACTTCAGTGCCCACCCCAGCCATTTCCTGAGGCATTGAGTTCATCGTGCCCTTGTAGACTATTTGACAAAGTGTATTGTGTGCTAGAATTATGACTCGCAGGAATTCCTGTTGTTTCTGGGATTAATGGCATACGGGGGAGAAAATGTGGGTGTTCTCTGGAATTGCTTACATATATATAACCAAAAGATACGGCATCTAATTGGATGTCAGTGTGGCGATTTCTCAGAAAATTAGGAAGCAATCTTCCTCAAGACCCAGTAATGCCACTTTGGGGTATATATCCAAAGGATGCTCAATCGTGCCACAAGGACATGTGCTCAGCTATGTTCATAGCAGCTTTGTTTGTCATAGCCAGAACCTGGAAACAACCTAAATGCCCCTCGACCAAAGAATGGATAAGGAAAATGTGGTACATTTACACAATGATGTACTACACAGCAGAAAAAAATAACACCTTGAATTTTGTAGGAAAATGGATGGAGCTAGAAAACATTATTTTGAGTGTGGTAACTCAGATCCAGAAAGACAAATATCACATGTACTCACTCATAAGTGGTTTTAAAACATAAAGCAGAGAAAGCCAGCCCACAAACATAGTCCCAGAAAACTTACACAACAGTGTGGGCACTGAGAGAGACTTACATAGATCTAATCTACATGGGAAGTAGAAAGTCTAAAAAGACAAGATTTCCTGAGTAAATTGGGAGCATGGGGACCTTGGGGGGGGGGGGAAGGTTGAGGGGGGAAGTGAGAGGCAGGGAGGGGAGCAGAGAAAAATGTAGAGCTCAATACATATCAAAATTAAAAAAAAAGCAAAGAGATATGGCATATAGTAGAAGGAAGATGGTGGTGGTGGTGGTGGTAATGATGGTGACCATGATTGTTACTACCACTGCTTGTGTGACCTGTGCCGTCTGCGTGCACATCTTCAAGGGTGACCTCTGACGCTTCGTTCGGCTTTCCTCTTGCTAGCACTGGTAACTCCTGCCTGTATCCCCAGCCCATTGAAAGGGTCCTGGCTAGGATGATGTGATACCTCATTGCCTTGCTTTTAGGCCGGAGAATCACAAGTTCAACCTAGGGAGACACTACCTCAAAATAAAAATCCTAGAAAGGACTAACGGGTGACCGAGGTCACTCAGAGGTGAAGAAGGCGACTGGCCACCAAGCCTGACAACCTTGAGTTTGGCCCCGTGGATCCACCTGGTGGAAGGTGAGATCCAACTCCCACAGGTTGTCCTTGGACCTTCACGTGTTCACCGTGGTATGTGGCGCGCGTGCACACAAGTAATTAAATGAAAAAAGGAGTGGATACAGCTCAGTAGCCAAGAAGTTGTCTTTCATACACAGAGCTACTCTCTACAAAAATCTATGATCATAGCTTGGCTAAGCTATTGTGGTTTGTAAGCAAATGAGTATTGATACAGGGACTTGGGTAGTTTCAATTTTTTAAAATACCTATTCATACTACGTTGTCAGTCCATCGATCCTGCACCCTGTTGATGGGCTCGGTACCATTGTAAGCCCTAGGGATTAATGGTGAACGAACATGGCAAAGTCTCCACCCTCACTGAATTTTATCCTGGTGGGCAAATAGGTTTCAGGGCCAGCAGTGGGAAGAGATTTGGGGGAGGTGGGAGTGGGGGGGGGGCTTCTTTTACAGATGCCAAGAAAGTGTTCTCTAGTGGAGTATGCTGTGCAGGGACCCAGGTGAGATAGAACATACATGATTATGTGTGGAGAGAATGGTGAGATGGGAAGAAATGGTAACCGTGAGACCCTAAAGCAGGAATGTGGAGGGCCTGCAAGGAGGCCCTTGGGATGGGAGCGGCGTTCAGGAAGTCAGTAGGAGGATATGGCAGGGTTTGAGCTCTTAGTACACATGATGCAATCTGACTGACCTTTCTGTTTTCGGGGACCATGGACAAGCATGGACATAGGATGCCAGTCAGGGTACCACTACAGTAGCCTCAGGTTATGGGATGACCAGTAGGGTCAGCATAGAGACTGGGGTAAGAACCCAAAAGCATAGGAAGACCTTGGGAAGGGAAACACGTATTGCTTGAGATGGCTTAGACACCTAAGCAGAGACATGTCATCACCCACTGTTGTCACTGGTCTGGATCTTGGCAGGTAGGAGGCTGGGCAGAAGTGTGAAGACGGGCATTGTTGGCATAGAGCAATGTTGAGGTGGAGGAATGGGGTGTGGATCAGCCAGTGTGACTGGAGAGGTTGTGCAGACATGACGGGCATGGGGGCAGGGCTCAGCTGGCTGGGTTGGTTTTCCCAACAAAACCAAGGGCATTCATCACCTCAGAGGCAGGAGGCTCTCTGAAGTCATTTAGGCAGAGGGCAGATATAGCAGAACGTAGCCCCGCTTACAGTCAGTGGCTGTGGCTTAGAATAAGCCCTGTGAGCAAAGTGCAGTGGGGTTTCCCTGTGACCGAATGCAGCGGCCTGAGATAGCCCAGTGGAGAGGAGTAGAAAGCAGGGCGGGAAGAGGTAGTCAGCAGGAGACCCCTGGCCCTAGTGGGGGGGGACTGTGAAAGCAGGAAGTCATGGTTGGAGAATAGGGTTGTTGGCGATGGCTCACACCTGCATGTAATTGAGGCTATGGAAACAGGAGAATCAGCCTCATCTGCAACCTAGGCTTCATGAGACTATCCGAAAGGAAAAAATAAATGAGATTTGGAGGTGGTGCCCAACCAGGGGTTGACTTGGTGCTCTGGACATAGATAGCCGTGGTTGAATGCAAATGCATTGGAAGGGAGAGAGTTCCAGAAACAAGATGCAGCGGTGTCGGGAAATCCCTCAGGGACATGAGTGGCACAACTAGGGGGTGTGCAGAGGGAAGGGCAGTTTGCCTGGCTGGTAAAGTCTTCCTGGAATTGGGGTTGGGGTGTGGAACCCAGAGTTGAAGAAAACTCAGCAGGTAGAGAATGGTTTAGTGACACGCGCGCGCACACACACACACACCACACACACACACACACACACACCACACCACACACACACACACACACCACACACACACACACACACCACACACACACCACACACACACACACACACACACACACACCACACACACACACACACACACACACACACACACGTCTCTGTCAGACCAGGGCAAGGGCCCATTAGCCTGAGAGAGCCGCCACAGGCGCCTTCCCTGAGTCTAGGTGAAGAGAGCAGAAGGGACTTTTGTGTGGGACAGGACATTGCCTGGGTGTGGGAAGGAATGAAATCACAGTAGCAGATCACAGGAAGTTTGGGTGAGAGGGGAGCAGAGGCACGGGAGACAGGCTGTCTCTGAGACTGTGGCGTTTGTCCCAGAGTGCTGAGGTGAGACACAGCCCTGTCATTTCTCTGTTACTGCTTCCCTCAGCTCCGCACAGAGCCTGACATAGAAGATGGCAGTGTGTGTTCTCATGGGCAAGACAAAAAACAAATGAATTATATGCAAAGAAAGAAAATATCAAGCCAGATTATTTATTTATTTATTTATTTGTTTGTTTGTTTGTTTTTTGGTTTTTCGAGACAGGGTTTCTCTGTGGTTTTGGAGCCTGTCCTGGAACTAGCTCTTGTAGACCAGGCTGGTCTCGAACTCACGGAGATCCGCCTGTCTCTGCCTCCCAAGTGCTGGGATTAAAGGCGTGCGCCACCACCACCCGGCAAGCCAGAATTATTTATCCTCAAACCAACAAACAATGAAAAGAAGCATGAGTTGGTCTTTGGAAGAAAGGGGATCTTTGGCCATAGTACAGTAGAGCTTAGGCAGATTCATATATTTCGACCGAGGAGATGGAAATCACAAGCAAAGGCTACAGGGGTGTGGGGTGAGTTGAAGCCTTCCCGCCTATAGAAATGGTGCATGGGCCGGGGACTTTGTAATTTAGAAGTGAATTTTGATATTGCTTGCTAAATAGAATTCCTAACGTCATAACATGTTAAAGGTTCGTCATTTCTTGTAAACTAGGTTTAAAAGATTAAAGTTGTAACATCCTTTTAAGTTAATAGGCTTGGCGTTTCAGCCCAGACGTCAAATTCTGGAGCTCAGTTTATTCATTCCGTTCATGTGCAGCACCCGGAAACTGGAGGACATGATTCCCGTGTGGTCTTCAAAGACTCATAAAAGACTCATAAGGAAGATTTGTTAATCAGTGGGTGTCTCTTCTAAGATGAACTGTGGTATTACGATAAATGCTGTTTTCCTAAGCGTCAAGACGGACCCCCATCCTGGGTTATATTGTTAACCGTATTTCTGCAACAAATCGAGAGAAGTGTCTCGCCCTGGGAAGTGTGTTCTGCAGCTGCTAGACTGTTGTCATGCCCCTTCTTGTTGTCGTTTTAGTGACAGCTATATTGTGCGTGTCAAGGCTGTGGTTATGACCAGAGATGACTCCAGCGGGGGATGGTTCCCACAGGAAGGAGGCGGGATCAGTCGCGTTGGGGTGTGTAAGGTGATGCACCCCGAAGGCAATGGACGAAGCGGCTTTCTCATCCATGGTGAACGACAGAAAGACAAACTGGTAATGACAGACCCACATCGCGGCCGTTAAAATTGCAATGACTGGTTTCTGTACATATAATCCTCCCTTTCCAGTGCTGTCTCTTGGCCGCACACCATATAGAGCGCATGCCACAAGGGTATTCGACCATCTTGTTTGCTTCTTTGATTGATCAAGGTGTGCAGTTATGACAGGTATTAGAATCAAAAGCATGTTCTTTGTCATTACAAATCGTGTAACAGTAAACTGGAATCAGGGTTTTCCATGGGAGATTTAGGTGGGACAGCGTCACCTAGCATTGGTTCCTTCTAAGTAAATATTTGTCTGAAAGAAACCAGAGCTTAGGGGCTGGGGGACATGGTCTGGAGTATATGAGCGTTTGCTGTGCAAGCATGAAGACCTCCTGAGTTTGGATCCCTGTAGCCACATAAAAACACACTGGCCTGTACCCCCAGCACTGTGGGAGACAGAGACAGAGGATCCCCATGTCTTACTGACCCCAGCCTTAGCTCCAGGTTCAGTGAGGCACCCGAAGCAGAGGAATAGGATGCAGGTGGCAAAGCAGGGCCCCTGACGTCTTCCTGTCGCCTCCGCTCACTAAAGTGCACACACACCACACCAACACATAACAGCCTTTATTTTGTAATAATAGCAAAGCAGCTTTGGGATAAGAAAATCACACACAGTAACATGGCACTTCTATAAGTAATTGCACATGCTTAGAAAAATGCATGGGAGGCAGAGGCAGGTGGATCTCTGAGTTCGAGGCCAGCCTGGTGGTCTACAAGAGCTAGTTCTAGGACAGGAACCAAAGCTACAGGGAAACCCTGTCTCAAAAAAACAAAACGAAACAAAACAAAATGCATGGGAAAGTGAGTCTTACCCCAAGGATGCAATAGCTTGCGGTGTCATGGAGGAACCTGGACGACCAGTTACACTACGGTCTCTGGTAGGGAGGAAGGTAGACCGTCCAAGCCCCGTTGATTCTTTGGAGGGTGGGTACTGCCAGAGCTTGTGCTCTAGGGCCCCATGCATGCCAAGCATGTGCTTTACCACTGAATGTATCCCCAGTCCATGCTAGTCTCCCTCACCTTCCTGCCTACTCTCTTGGTCAGAATTGAACCCAGAGCCTTGCGCCGGATGGGCAAGCACTTCTGTGTCGGGTGCCGTGTGTCCCCGATTCTAAGTCTCCTTTAGACTGACTACGCTCAGCATAGTCTGCTTTCCACTGTCGTTGGAAGTAGAGATTCAGAACCTATAGTGACTGAAAGTGTGGTGCATTGGGTAAGGTCTCCCAGAGGAAATGCTCATGGCTCCATGCTAAGTTGGTGCTGCATTTGAGAGCTGGACAGGTTTTATGTATGAAGTGTGTAGATAGGCTCTTTCTTTTTTTCCCCCCAACCACTTCTTATGGTTGAAGAAAATTACCAAATAGATAAGACAGAATAGCTTGTAAATATCACTGATACATTAACTGGAATGCCGCTGTACACTTTATTCCTTCCTAAAAATTCTCCCAGTGTAGGCAGTGTGACCACACTATAAAGAAAACAAAGTGGCCAGGTTTGGTGGTGCACACCTTTAATCCTAGCACTTGGGAGGCTGAGGCAGGCAGGTAGATTTCTCTTAAGTTCAAGGCCAGCCTGATTTACAACACAGGAGAAGCTCCAGACCAGCCTACATAGTGAGAGAGACCCTGTCTCTCTGTCTGTCCGTCCGTCCGTCTATCTCTGTCTCTCTCTCTCTCTCTGTCTCTCTCTCTCTCTCTCTCTCACACACACACACACACACACACACACACACACACACACAGAGAGAGAGAGAGAGAGAGAGAGAAGAAAAATAAATAAGATTTTAGAAAAAAGTGGCTTGGGTACCATGTGCCTGGCACGTGCGTGCCCCCAGCTAAGCCCAAGGTTAGCCCATTAGTTAGCTGATGCTCAGGGCATGATTTCGTGTTCTTTTTTTTTTTTTTTTGATTTTTCGAGACAGGGTTTCTCTGTGGTTTTGGAGCCTGTCCTGGAACTAGCTCTTGTAGACCAGGCTGGTCTCGAACTCCCAGAGATCCGCCTGCCTCTGCCTCCCGAGTGCTGGGATTAAAGGCGTGCGCCACCACCGCCCGGCTATGATTTCGTGTTCTTGGGGACCATATTTGGTACAGCATTACACAGACCCCCAAAATTGAAGCAGGGTCATGGCGCACAGCTGTGCGTGTTTTCTTTTTCACACGCCTTTTGTTGGTGTGTGAAGAGCTGGGCATCATCTCACTTCCTTGTCGCTGACATTCTCTTCAAGGGCTTTCCTGTACTGCTCACACACTAGTGTGGCGTTCCGCTGTTAGCCATCTCCTTAGTGTCCCCCCTCATCACCATAGTATTGTGAAGACACATTTAACTGCGTTTTTCCACATTCCACCGTTCCTGATTTTAAAGAAATAATTAGAAACCGCGCAGTGGTAGCTCAAGTCTTTAATCCCAGACTTGAGAAGTAGAAGAAGGTGGACCTGTTGAGCTCTGAGTTCAAGGCCAGCCTGGTCTACAAGGTGAATTCCAGTACATCCAGGGCTACACAGAGACACCCTGTCTTGAAAAGCAAAACAAAACAAACATCAACAATGAAAGAGAGAGAGAGAGAGAGAGAGAGAGAGAGAGAGAGAATATATGAATTTGGGGCCTGATTTTCATGACCTTTAGTGTATAGCTGTTACTGTGTGAGATTTTCCTTTAACTTTGAGGTCATAGGTTTTAAATTGCTATCATTTCAATAAAATAATAGTAGTCTCCGTTGATTTCTTATGAATGACCTCATATGGTTTCCTACTTGCTAAAAAGCTGTCACTTGCCAGCCAGATGGCCCAGCGTCTGAGGGCTCAGGCAGACAAGCCTAATGGTGAGTTCAGTCCCTGGGACCCACATAGTAGGAGAGCACAGATTCTTGTAGGCTGCCCTCTGACCTCCACACATGCCCGCACACACGTGCACACACAAAAATAAGTGTTTTTAGTCCTTTGCGTGACTGAGTTACCTGCCAGTGTCCTTTGCGTATCTATCTCCTGGAACTTTTCTTTTTTGTGTTCTGCCCTGGTGTTATGAGTTATTTGTCTTTACCTGCCTTGTTTAGATTTTAAAAATGTGTTTCTTGTCTTTTTTCCCTTTCATTGGTATTCTTGTTCTGCAAAATTTCAAGAGGGATTCTTTGATTTGCACCCTCTCTTTCTAGTCTGTTACCAGACTATCCCTTTCTAGTCTGTTACCAGACTATCCCTTTCTAGTCTGTTACCAGACTATCCCTTTCTAGTCTGTTACCAGACTATCCCTTTCTAGTCTGTGAAGGGTTCTGGATACTTAGGGCTATTTCTCCTGGGTTTCTTCTGGATTGTCAACCTAGAATAGTCTCCATTTCTGGCTTTTTGAGATAGGCTCTCCTATAGCCCAAACTGGCTTTGTAGCCAGGGATGACCTTGAACTCCTAATCTTCCCGTCTACTACTCCCAAATTCCAGGATTACAGGCCTGTACCACCACACCCAGGTTTAAAATAGCCCAAGTTGAGACGGTCTAACCCAGCCCCTTCCTTTCAAACTGCATTTTGAACTTGTGTCTTCCCAGTGACTTATACATAGTAACTACAAATGTTTTCCATTTTGTCCAAGGACCTGACATGAATAACCTCTGTTGTATTCATGCCACATCCAAAAGGGGAAGAGACTGTCTCCATGTTATAATTCAGTGCATTGCTTCCCTGGGTTCAGGATGGTGCCATCCTCCAGGTGTTCCTTTTCTCCACCATCCGTTTTCCCCATCTCTCCCTACCTCCTCCTGCTCCCTTCGCACCTGGTGGCATTTCTGTCCCACATCCGTCCACCTGCTGTGCTTTATTTTCCTAACCCCCACTTTGCCTGCTTCGCTCTGGGAAATCTGGATTCCGGCCCCCACTCCTACACCATTTGCAGCTACAGTGGCATCTCTTTGATCTCCCTGCTCTGTGAGGCGATGGGAGCCACCGGAGCCCTTGAGGCTCTGAAGGAGCTCTGAAAGGGGGCGGGTCGTTGAAGGAAACCCCTTTAACCACGAGGGGAAATGTGAGGTGGTGGTTGGCTGAGCCTGAGATGGAGGCCTCCTTCCCTGTAATCAGCTGGGCACGAAGTGCTTTTTTCATAGGAGTGTATGGGGATTTGTTCCAAGGTTCTAGAAGTCAACATTGTGTGTGTGTGTTTGCGTGCGTATGTGTGTGCATGTGCGTGTGTTTTACTTCTGTATTGGAGTCTGTGAGTTTAACTGACATTGCTTCTACATATACCCATTTATAAGTTGTCGGAGAATTTTTGGTAATTGGCTGCTGAGAAATTGTATGCAAACTGAAGCTTTGCGGCCTAGACTGGCCTGAAAACTCAACAGTATAGTCCAGGCTGACCTCCAACACGTTCAATTTTTATCACCCGTGCTCTACCTTCCAAATGCTGGGATTAAGAAGAAAGTGTGTTGGGACTCAGGTCTGTGCCCCCATTATCTGTCCCCCTTTCTTATAATTGTAGATATTCTTCCTAGATTGTATATCAGAACTTAACTGGTAACTTTTTTTTTTTTTTTTGTGGGGTAGGGTGGTTTTGGAGACAGGGTTTCTCTGTGTAGCCCTGGCTGTCCTAGAGATCTGCCTGGTGGGCTTGGTTTTTAAGACAGGGATTCAGGTAGTCCAGGCTGGCCCCAGTTCTTAGATGAGGATGACCTTGCACTTCTGATCCTCCTGCTCTGTCTCCCAATAGTACAGGCATGTGTTTATGTGCCCGGTTTATCTGATGCTGGGGACCCAGGGCATGCTGGACCATAGGAAGGCCTCCTTCAGACCAAGCTGCACCCCCAGCCCACCATTGTTTCTCATGCCTCCTTCCGTGGAAACTGCTGTTTAATCCTTCATCTTGCACGAATGTCTTACTCGGGCCTGATTCTGTGGTTGTCTGGAGAAGAGAACGTGGTGTTTGTTGGATTGGGCCAGTCTTCAGGATGGTGTCACATTTCATCCAGCATTATACAAAGAGATTTCTTTTTTGCTTTATGTCCTTTGTGGCTAGGAAGGCCCAGGGATTGAGTTAGAGCCCCAGCCCTTCTTTGAGACAAGCTCTCATTACACAGTCCTCACTGGCCTTGAACTTGGCAGTTCCTATGCCTCTGTCTCCCTGGAGCTAGATTACAGCCCTGTGCTACCATACCCGCTCCACACCCCCTTATGTCTCCCCCACTCGCCCGTCAATTATTTCATTCCACAGTGCATATTTCATAGTCGGAAGGCAGGGCTAGAGAGATGGGCTCAGCAGTTAGGAGCACTTCCTGTTCTTACAGAGGACCCGGGTTCAATTCCCAGCACTCACGTGGCAGCTCACAACTGTCCGCGACTCCAGTTCCAGTGAATCTTGGTACCTTTGCACTAGCATACATGTGGACAAAACACTGATGCACATATAAATACGTAAAATCTCTTTTTTAAAAAAGTAGGTCAGAGGACAGATGGTTTATCAGAGAGGACCTGGGTTCAATTCCCAAAACCCACATGGCAATTCATCACCATCTGTAACTGCAGCCCCAGAGGATCTGACATTCTCTTCTGGCCCCCACAGACTCCAGACATTCACATGGTACACAGGCTTACATGCGGCAAAACATCCATACATATAAAGCAAAATAATAATTGGGGGAAAAGTGTTTAATTATCGGTTAATGTCCAAAACTCTGATTTTTTTTTAAACTTGTAAGTTCAGATTTTATTATTAGGAGTGGGAGTGTCCAGTTATTTCCTTCGAGGCAGCGAGCTCAGTTTGCTCATTTTCAAAAAAATCTCTGCCAAATACCCAATTAGCTATACCTGGTCTCTTGGTTGATCTTTTAATAAAACGATGATTCCCAGAGAGCAACCTGTGCTGATGGCGATGGCACATGCCTGAAGTCCCAGCACTTGAGACGTGGAGGCAGGGAGATCGGGAGTTTGAAGTCAGGTTCAGCTGTTCATCACATCCAAGGCCATCCCGGGCTACACGAGAGACCCAGTCCTAAAATGGAGGGGAAAGGGAAGAAGTTAATTCAGCCTACAAAGGAGCCCGCTGCACAGAAGAGACAGTCGTACCAGCCAGTACGGCGACAGTCACCCTGCTTCCTTGTTCAGAAGAGGACAGGCTTGGGAACCCCACTCTATTCTGACCCTGTATCTGTCTGTGTACGCCAGGCTTTCTTCATCACGGGTACCTACCAAAGCAGTGTGTTCCCACCGAAGGCTGAGTATAAAGAAGCTGGTGTGAGAATCCAGTTGTGTCTGCTTTGGATCATGCTGTGAAGTATTAAGGACGTTCCTGAGAAACCCGAGCGGACGTCGTGCTTGGTGAAGGCTTTAAGCCACACACCACTGCCGCACTGCGGGTTTCGTGCTGCTGTGCTGCCGTTATATCGTCCTCCCTTTCCCGCAGACAGGTCCACACGGAGGAAGATGGCAGAAGTGCTAGGGTGGTGCTCTCCCACTTGGGACTACAGGAAAGGGGATGGAGATTAAGGAGGCACTCAGAAGCCCACAGATCAGATTTGGGGAACTATTTATGTGTAACAGCATAGATGGTAGTGTTGTTTGGGAGAGGGGCCATGTATATGGTCTGTGGTTAAATGAATCCATGTCTGTATAGGAGAACATCACACAGTCATTGAACAGAATCGTTAACTCCTGTCTCTAGAATGTTGGGGGTGTCTGTTTAGCTTCCGTTCTCTCCCTACCCCCCCCCCCCTGCTAGAAATCAAATCAAATCCAGGACCTTAGGCATGTAAAGCACATGATCTTCCACTAGGCTGCATACATACACACACATTCCCCAAGACATGATTTTTTTTCATTTTTATGTTATGTTTATGAATGTTTTGCTGTTTGCATGTGTACTGCATGTGTGCCTAGTACCCACGGAGGTCAGAAGAGGTTGTTTGATCCCATAGAACTGGAGTTACGGGTGGTTAAGAGCCACCGTGTGGGTGCTGGGGACTGAATCTGGGTCCTCTGCAAGGGCAGCAATTGTTCTTAATAGCTGAGCCATCATCTCTCCAGCCCCGCAAGGCATCATTTTAAGGAAGACAAAAGACCCATTGCAGAAGCAATTTATAGGAATGGTTCTGCTGAAACACAGTTCATATGTAAAGAAGGAACAAGGCAGCCTGGTCTACAAGAGCTAGTTCCAGGACAGGCTCCAAAACCACAGAGAAACCCTGTCTCGAAAAACCAAAAAAAAAAAAAAAAAAGAAGAAGGAACAAGGGCCAGGTCTGTGCTCTCCACGACCGTGGGAAACAAATCTGGAGATACTGGAGTGGGAGAGGAACATGGCCGGGGCAGGGGCTCAGTTGGTAGGGGACTAGCGTGCACACAGTCGCGGGTTCAGTCCCCAGCATGGTTTGAGATACAGCCTGTAATCCCAGCATGCAGGAGGATTTAGAAGGTCATCTTCAAATACTTGGAGAGTTCAAAGCTACCGAAAAGAAATGGTTAGACAATGATAGCCAGAGACTAATTTTTTTTTTCATTCTAAAAATACGGGAAAATTGAGTCTCTTTGTTTTAGCAAAGAAAAAAATTAATAACTTGGGGCTTTGAATTGAAGCCTTTGGATTCTAAAATGGGTGGCATTTGTTAGTTAAAGCCTTGATTATTCGGACTTCCCCAGTTTGGAACGAAGCTGGGCTGGCATTTAGTCATTGGGCTATTCTTAGGGGAAAATGACCATGATAAGCAATTTAATCATAAATAGAATTATAAGGAGCTGTCCTCTTCAATACAATGTTATAAAATTAACATTCAGTGTTGCTTTTAATATGCCAATTATACTATTGTTATTAATTTAGAAAACATTTAGTAAGCGGTATTTTATTTCTTACTGCTTTGACATATTCTTGAAATTTGTACTATTCTTTAGTTTCGATTTACCCTAATTTAGGTAAACTTTTATTCTCTTGCCCTTCATTTAGGCTAGATTGACAAGCTTACGTGGTGTTAATGGCGGGACTTTGCAAAACAAGGTCAAGGCTGTGAAAACCCTGTAGAGTCGCTTTGGTGTTTGTAATAAAGCTGTTGAATAGTTTGGGATTTTTATTAATGAGAATATGAAGTTGATATTTGCTGGATTGCAAAGCTTCTAAAACATGAACTAAACGGTGTCTGTCATCAAGAGCGCTGATTAGAAGGGGAGTTAAGCTATAGTGTATCTTGCCATCTAAGATTAATTAGGTGAGAAATTATTAGAGAATATTGAATCCGGTACAGAATTAATTGTGAATGGAGCGAGTAGAATCTGAGAAGTCCTGGGGAGTCATGTGACCCTGTTCAGTTCCTCGGTGTTTTCAGAACACAGTCTTGTTCTTGCTCATAACATTGATGGTGTTTTCAGTCTTAGGGAAACAGGACCAGGTTCTGTGTAAAGATGAAAAGCCGTTCCTTAGGCTCGGTCGTTAGGAACACAGAGAGCGTTCATAATCCTAATGTACAGTTAGTAGTAACGCCACCAGCTTAGAACTGCAGCAGCTGACTTGGAAGCCATACACACAGGAAGTGGACCCAGTGACTGACAGCATAGGGGGACAGAGAAACAACGCAGAGATAGCCACAGGAGTTCTGAGCCAGAGCGAGCGAGCAGACCAGGGTTGACAGTGCCGGATGTGAAGAAGCTGGGAAAGATTTAGTCATGTTCAGTTTGTTGAATCCACAGACACAGACCTGTTGGGACCAGGAGGGAAGGCAGGTGACAACAGGACAGAAGCCCCAACACTGAGGGGCCAGGAGAAGGAGGAGTGGGGTGCAGGAAGACAGGACAGTGAGACTTAACTGAGCCCGTGTGCAGGGAACAGCAGAGATTGGTGGTCAGTGGGAATCATCTGTTTCTTCCACCTGGAGAGGTACACCCATGAAGACCAGGGGCCAGGGTCCTTCCGTTAGTGGCCATCAGTGATGGTTCTCGGTTAGGCTTGCAACAGACACCGCCATGATTGTCCCACAAGTAACCAGCCTGTGTTTCAATCCTTCAGGTGGTACTGGAATGCTATGTCAGAAAGGACTTGGTCTACACCAAAGCCAATCCGACGTTTCATCATTGGAAAGTTGACAATAGGAAGTTTGGTCTTACTTTCCAAAGCCCTGCGGATGCACGAGCCTTTGACAGGGGCGTGAGAAAAGCCATTGAAGACCTTATAGAAGGTACTGGATTTGTCACTGCACCCTTAGAGGGACTGTGGAGTGTTCCGGGTTCTTTTTCATTCCCACAGTCTGCCATCTTATATACATGGCTTGTTTGTAGGAAGTTTCCCTGTGGGTTTGTGGTTCCCCCATTTCACCAGTGCCGGCCATCGAAAGGGATGTGCCTGCTCTTGAGATTGTTTACTGTTTCATGTCAGTAGCTAGTGTGTAACACAAAGGGGTCCCTTAGAAGAATGTGAGCCGGGGTGGGACAGATGGCTCAGCAGTTGAGGGCAGTGGCAGCTCTTGCAGAGGACCCAGGTTAGGTTTCCAACCCTCCCAGCGCCTAAAACTTGGCTAATGGCCACCAGTAACCCAAGTTCCAAGGAAGCCAACGCCATCTTCTGGCCTCTACAGACACTGCACATGCGTGGTCTGCAGATTTACATGCGTGCAAAGCACCCATACATCTAATTTTTTTTTTTTAATTTTAAAACAAACTAAGCCAGCTGGGCAGTTGTGGCATATACCTTTAATCCCACTTGGGAGGCAGAGGCAAGTAGGTCTCTGTTAGTTCAAGACCTTAATTCCAGCACTCGGGAGGCAGAGGCAAGCAGATCTCTATGAGTTCAAGACCAGCCTGGTCTACAGAGCAGGTTCTAAGACTGGCTCCTTAGCTACTGAGAAACCCTGTCTCAAAAAAAAAAAAAAAAAAAAAAAAGGAAGGGAAGAAAAGAAAGAAACTAAGCCAGGTATTTAATTTGAAACATAAAAGGCTGGAACTCTGCACAGAAAGAATAAGTTACAAATTACTTCTCTTGTGTGCAAATGCACACAAACAATAGGATTCCTTTTTTCTTTTTAAGAACAATAGAATTCTTACACTATTTCAAGTTAATAGAATTTAAAACTATATCATGTGCTGGTTGTTGTGGCACACACCTTTAACCCCAGCACTCGGGAGGCAGAGGCAGGAGGATCTTTTTAAATTTGAGGACAGCCTGGTCTACATAGCAAGTTCCCGCTGATAGCCAGGACTGTATAGAGAGGCTCTGCCCCACCCCCCAAAAAAATGAAAAGAAAAGTGTAAAGTGGGGGCCCCCAGACGGCTCAGTGATTAAAACCCTTGATGCGAAAACCTGACAACCCAAATCCCGTCCCTGGAACCTGCAGCGGGGGCAGAGGAGGGACCCCATCCCTAGAACTTACTATTCAAAGAAAGTGCGTTTGAAATATATTTACAGTCATCAACAGCCTTCAGAGACTGGGAATAGCAATGAATAATTTTATACAGGAGAAATATTTTAAGATATCTTATCACTGAATTTACGACAGTGGTGAGAAGATGGTCAAGTGGCCTGGAGAGACGGCCCAGTGCTTGAGAGCACAGGCTGCTCTTCACGGTACCAGGGTTCGATTCCCAGCACCCACATGATAGTTCACAGCCTATAACTCCAGTTTCAGGAGATCCCCTTCTGGCTTCCTGGGACACCAAACGCACAATTAGTATACGAACGTGCAGGCAAAAATACTCCACAGACATAAAAAAAAAGTAAGTTCTAAGACGATAGTGAAACGCTCTCGTCATCAGATGGCAATTGAGCCTGTTTTTAACCGTTAGGGGGCTGTACGGTGAATCTGCTACAAATCGAAAGGGTTGTTTCTGCCGGGGTACAGGCAGCGCACGACCACAGCCTTGAGGGGCCTTCGGCCATAAGCATTCAAATTCACCACTCTGCACAGTTTAGTCACAGGTCAGTGTTTAAGGTACCGGGACCCTGAGGCGTGGTGACACCAAAGTCAGGATTGAAAGAAATGATTACCAAAATGATTATTTCATTTGCTTAAGAGATGAGATTTGAGCTAGGGAGATGGTTCAGTGGGTAACGTTGCTTCCTGCCAAGCCAAACAACCTGAGTTTGGTTCCTGGGACCCACATGGTGGAGGGAAATGACCAGTTTCCAGAAATTCATTCTCTCTCTCTCTCTCTCTCTCTCTCTCTCTCTCTCTCTCTCTCTCACGCACGCACACCACTTTATATATGTGTTTCTCTTGACTTGAGTTTCTCTTCAGGTATATCTATTGAATTGACCACCACATTCCTGGCTCCTGTTCATGGGAGAAGTGGGGTTGCTTCACTATTTGCAGCTAGATAAAGAAGTGAACAAGAAAGTTGAACTTGAACCACCAGGCCATCTCATGATGGGATTAGCTGGATTTTCTAACAGAAACCTCAATTTTGACTTGGAAAAAGCAACGCCAAGTCCTGGGGTTCTGACAGCGCGTGTCTGCTAACAACACAGCTCCCATAGTATGGCCAGGGAGTGCAAGGTCTGAGTTCAGAAGGAGAGGTGGGGATTAGGGCTTCTTCAGCAGGAGGTGAGACGATCAGGGCAGTGAAAGCCCCGCTTTTCTGAGGCTGAGTAGGTCTAGCTGAGAGAGCTTTGGCGTTTCCCTTCCTTCGGTACAAAAGTTAAAGTAATGGGAACCACAGCAGGTAAAATTAATTTGGGGAGCATCATGGCTAGAGCCAAGGGGAATGATTTAAAATACTGAATCCCCGTGTGATTATATGCTAGGGTCGGTGTCCTGACAGAGTGGAAGATACTTTAAGATAACACTTTTTTTTTTTTTCAGGATAGGGATAATCAGTGATGATAATTCAGTGGTAAAGTTGCCCGTGGTGTCCATGGGGCCCCAGGGTCAGTCCCTACTAATGCTAAAATAAAGAGAGGAGTGCTCGCTTCGGCAGCACATATACTAAAATTGGAACGATACAGAGAAGATTAGCATGGCCCCTGCGCAAGGATGACACGCAAATTCGTGAAGCGTTCCAGATTTTTAAAAAGGAAGCAAGGCCTCCACTCTGTGGATTCTAAAAGGCGGAAAATGAAAGTGTTTCCTTTAAAAAAAATAAAATAAAATAAAAAAGAGAGGAAGAAATACACCATATGCTTTTAAAGACTGGAGATGAGACTCGGTGGTAGATGTGACCTGCCTACCATGCGTAAGGTCCTGGGTTCAGTCTTCAGCACTAAAGGAAGGAAAACAAGACATACACTAGCCACCACACTTTACCCTTTTTAAATGATTGACGTCAGTTATCCACAACTCGATTGATTTGATTGCGTTTTTGTCTTTTAGGCTCCACCACCTCATCTTCCACTATTCACAACGAGGCCGAGCTGGGAGACGATGACGTTTTTACAGTGAGTTTCCTTTCTCCTTTGTTTCCCCGCATTAGATGACCTTCAGAGGCGTTGCCCACTAAGGACACTTTGCAGCGAGGCCTTTGAAGTTGCTTGTGGCTGCTATCATAGAAAACTCTGTCATTTCAGTTTGTCACATTCTGGTCTTGACCCCCTGCTCATCCTTGTAGTGATACAGCCCTCCGCGCAGCCCACACCCCTAGATCTTCTCTTCAAAGTTCAGGTCTAAGGGCTCCTGGCACATCAGGGGACCAGCTGCTTTGGTTTGCCTAGGACAGTCCCGGGCAGACCAGGACAGTTGATCATCTCCTTATAGCCTTTTTTGAACACACTGGTGCCAAAGGAAAGCCAAAAGGACACCCCCACCCCCACTGCCACCCCCACCGCCACCGCCACCAGCACTCCCCGCGAGTGATTCTGCTTCCGACATGAGACATGTGATATTGAGTAAGAAGGAAAGGGCTTAGGTGTGGACACTACTTCAGTTAATGGAATGTAACTGGGACATAATGACTGCTCAGCGTCCTTCTCCCTGGAAATCCTTTGCTTCTGAAAAAGCAGTTACCGTGCAGTTGCTTGCCCAGCCACTGCTTGGAGCAGCGAGTGGAGGTCAAGCAGCATGGTCAAGCTGAGCACCTTGACCCACAATGAGAAGAGCGTTGTTATGACCCAGCAAGGTTGTGACACATTGTTGTGACACCTCAAAGCTAATCTTGGTACTATACTTTCTGGTTCTGGTGACTCCATTTCCTGGTGTTTGTTTGTTTGTTTCTTTTACGAAAATGTAAAGAACGGCATGGTAACTGTGTATGGCACCAAGACTCGGCAGACTTGCTAGTTGTGTTCCTGCGACTTCCCTAATGTCCTGGCAAATGTGACTGAAAGAAGGCAGGGTTATTCTGGCACAGTGTGTGGTTGTCACAGGCCATTCTGGTGGGGAAGTCATTACAGCAGGGGCTTGAGGCAGCAGGTCCTATTGTATCTGCCGTCAACCTTGAATGCTGCTGCTCGCCTAGCTATCATCCTGTTACTCAGTGCAGGACCCCAGCCAGGAAGTGGTGCTGCCCACCTCTTGGGTGGATCCTCCCGTCTCATTACCCGAATCAAGATAATGCTTCCTAGGCCGAGCCAGGGGCTCACCTAGTCTAAATACTACTAGATATAGTTTCTTACTAGATCCTGTCAGCTTGACAGTCAATATATTGCTTTAAAATTGTTGCTTATTGTTATTGTGTTTGTATGTGTGCATGGTGTGTGTGTGTGTGTGTGCGCGCGCGCGCGCGTGTGTGTGTGTGAGAGGGCATGTGTGCCACAGTGTTCTACGCGTAGTCTCTTCTCTCCCAGTCCCTTTATGTGGAGTCTGAGGGATCAAACTTGGGTCTCTAGGCTTATATGGCAAGCATTTCTCTGGCAGTTACCTCACAGGCCAACAGTGAGTTGGCCATAAGAGTGCCAGTGTGTCTTCACTCATGCACACACACACACACACACACACACACACACAGATACTTTTTTACTGATCAAGTTGAGTATAAATTTCCCCTATTTTCTTTTGTATTGCTTGGTTGATTTTTGTGTATATGTTTGTCTGTGTGTATGTGGGCACATGCGTGTACACTCTATGTATTTGGGTATGGACTCTAGAAGGGGGGATCCTATCACCTGGAGCTGTAATTAGAGTGTTAGTGATATGGAATGCTGAGAACCACACCCCGTTTCTCTGGAAGAGCAGCAAGTACTCGTACCCGCTGAACCATTCCTCCAGCCCACCTCACAATGCTTTTATTGTGCATCCCTTTTAATAATAAGTATCACAGAGTCCTTTTAGGTAGCCAGTCTATTCTGCTGCTCTAAGAATAGGCACATGTTGTTTTACATCTGTGCAAAACCCTAGACTGTGTAACACCTACACCGAACCATAGAAAACTGAGAGTTGGGATAATGTGTGGATACAGGTTCATTGATTTTGTAATTGGGTTTTTGTTTTGTTTGAGAAAGGGTTTTGCTGTATAGCTTTGACTGACCTGGAACTTGCTTTGTAGACTAGGCTGGCCTTGAACTCACATAGATTCATCTGTCTTTGCCTTCCTAGTGCTGAGATTGATTAAGGGCACCAGCACACTTGGAAGGTTTATTGATTTTTTTTAACAAATACACAGCCTGGTGGGCAACATTGCTAATAGAAGAACTGCAGAGGGGAGGCAAAAAAATGTATAGGTGCTCTCAGTTCCTTTAGCTCAGTTTTGTTGGTTTGTAAACCTAAAATAAAATAAGGAATGAAGTTGGAAGGAAGGTATTTAAATATAATAAGGCCTCCTCCATAGAGCACTAAAATTCAGACCATTGTCTAATATCTCCTTTATAAATTACCTAGTTGCCCCCAGACTGACTTTTGTAAGTTTTTTTTGTTTTTAATTTCACATTTTAAAATATGGGGAGTAATTGAATAAATTCATATCTCTGCGCTAACAGTTTGTGCAGAGTGTGCAATGTGTGAGCCCAGGCACCAACGATCACAGAACCAATGGCGGAGCTTGCAGAACTGAGTTTGACCCACAGGAAACCTGAGAATGGGCAGAAGGCGGGCAGTGAAAGGTAGTCCTGCCTACACATAAGGCAGGAGGTTATGGGGGAGTTGGGGGCGGTGTCTAAACAGGACTTCACTGACATCTGCACAGGATTTTGGAAAGAGATCTCATCGAGGGAGCTCGGGGACGAAGGCTGGAGGGGGAGTGGGAACTGTGGAGCATCATGGTCCAGATGCCGCAGATACATTGTGTAGTGAGACCGTCAGGAAGTGAGCTCGGTTGTCTTCCCTTGGAGCGGCTGGTGCTGCGGCTGAACAGGCTTCCTCTAGTGCTCCGTGCAGACCCTCTCAGCAGCTGGCATGTGCTTACAGCTGTTCTTTTGTCACGTTTGGGGAGACAGACAACAGCGGGGAGGTTAAAGGTGGCTTCCTGTGATCCAGAGCACAACCGGAATCGGCAGCTGCTTCCCAGCTACCTGCCAGCAAGGATTTATAGACTAAGGCAGGGCGGAAACCCGAATCCTCTAGCTTTCGTCCTTTAAGCCGTGCCCTGGGGAAAGACACTCGTTACAGACTTCATTCCACATAGAGCCGGTGTATAGGGTCACATGCCTGTTTACAAACACAGGCCTATTTATAATGGTACCTCCCTTCCCCAGGAAAGGCCCAGATTTATTTCCAGGCTGTTGGCTGTGGGAAAATGGGCACGTGGTGGGGGGCTGACATGCCAGATTCCTGTTCATTGACCAGCTCTCTGTAATTTAGACATTCTGCCCCAAGACAGTAAAGGAGTGTGAGCCAAGGAAACGAGCCGCTAGGTTACAGCCTGAGCCGGACACTTCCCAAGTGGGTACAGTGTTCTCAAACGTTTTCTGGAAGACAGATGTTTAGAAGTTGGAATTTCTATCAGAAAGGGTTTAAATGCTGCTAGGCGTCCCCTCTTCTGAGTCTTGAGAATTGCCATGGTTTTCAGAGGCAGCCGCTGGCATTTGGAGCCCTCGGCGCTGTAACCTGCGCTGTCAAATGCTTGTTTTCCGTGTCTGCCATTGGGGCCAGAGGTTTCCCTAGTTCTCAGGATTCCTTGGGACTTGAGGGACATAGGATGCTCCAGACACTGTGTGGGTGCTTATGAACACACACATTGCTGAACTTCGCCCTGGGGACACCAGTAGGAGTGTGTCCCCCAAGGGTTCGCGTGTTGCAGCTTCGTCCCCAGTGTGGCAGTGTTGATAGTGCCTCAGAAGAGAGTAATGCTGTTCTTGTAAGACCCTGGCCAGTATTCAGAGTCCTTAGCCTGTCCCCTTCCTAGCCTTTCCCTCTGCCCCTTTGCCCTGTGGCTTCTCACACGTGTTCCCACCATTAGAATCTCCGAAGGTAGGGCCCTCACCAGAGCCTGCCCGGTACCAGCACCATGAAGTCGAACCTCTAGAACTGTGGAGTTAAAGAGGCCTTTCTATTGTAGACAGCCTCTGCTATTGTTTTAGTAATGGAAAGTAGACAAGTTCGAGTACTAAACCTAGACAAAGGGACACCCACCTAGCTGCCCTGTGGAGTCAGCCGTACAGCCTTGTGGGCTCACAAAGCAGTGGCTGTCTCTGCCCCAACACTTTCTCAACTGTCCCAGTGATCTCTCGGAGTCACCTTGTCAGCTAGAAACCAGACGGTCTTCCTGTGGAAAGATACCTGCCAGTGTACATTGTATCATTGGCCAACATTGCCCACCTCTCTCCCTGGCTCCTACTCCTCCTGAGCCTGTCCCCTGTTTCATTACCCAAGGCCGTGCATGTCCATGTCTTTCCTGTCAGAGGCCCCACCAGAAGTTCTTGACTAGCTACCGCTCTGTGTGAGTTTTTGTTGTTTATTCTATTTCTCGTATTGTTTTTTTTTTTTTTACTGTATGCGTGCATGTTGGTGTGTGGTCAGAGACAATTTGTGGAGTCAGTTGTCTCGCATGTGGGTTCCAGGGATCCAGCCGTGGGGCAGCAAGAACCTTCATACGCTGAGGCATGTTAAGAACATACAACAAAGGGGCTGGAGGCATAGCCCGTGAGCAGCATGCTCACCAGCTGTGTGAGGGCCTGGGTTCTATCTGCAGCCATGCCAGACAACAAAGAGGCGAACATTTGGGGATGGGGACTTTCTGGCATTGCTGAAAGTAGACTTCTTTTCTCTTGTCCCTCCAGCGTCTTCTTTCTTGCCCCTTCCGTCTTTCCCTTCAGAGCTGAGACTTGAGTTCGGCTGGCTCTGCCGAAGTCAGTTTTTGTTGCACTGGCTACTGGCCAGTCTTGAGGAATCCTGTGTAAAGCTACTGACACTTTAGCTCCATGGACACGCTTAGCTGGTTTGCTCTCCAGCTGACTTCCTCCTGGACCCCCGCAGCTCGGGGCTCAGAGGAAAAGGGGTTTGGAGCCAGCAAAGAAGAGGTGGGTATTGGTGAGGAGACAGGAGCCCCTCCCGGACATGGGAGCCATCT